AGGACCCATTACAAAAATGTCGTTGTTCACAAAATGCAGTATTGCTGGTAATTAAGAGAACATATGGACCATTGGCGATTATTCACATCACTTTTTGTGGAGAGCATGCCGGATACCATGAGAGCGCATACCGTTGATTAAATTTATGCGACGAAAAGTTGGGTTTCGAGGAATCTCTTGCTTTATAATTGTTGAGCTTACTTCCATTTCGAGTGAGTGTTAAGTGAAGAGATTCGAAGGTCGATTCCACCAAAAGACGATGGCGGATTCCTATTAGCTTTACTGGAAAATTGATGCTGACGCTGTTTCCTAGGCCATCTCCTTCGATCCCGGTGAAAATTTGCTAAGCTTCCCAATTCGCGAGCTGCATTGTGTGAAAGCATGTGCGTTGGACGTATGCGAACATGAATATCAGCAATAATAAGAAGTAAGCCTATGTCACCAAGGTGATTTAAGGAGTGATAGTTGAGTGTCCCAAAAGGAGTAGTACTACTTATTTTTATGTGAGTAGCAGTTGAGACTATACGTAATTGTTAAATAAGAAATTAGTCAGTCCAGGATGATTCAAGGAGTTTTATGGAAATGAGATGACTAGGCCTCATGATGAAATGCCCGAAAATAGTGCCATGTGAAATTCATATAATTTTGGGGAAATTCGTCTCTCAGTCCTTTATTACTTAAAATGAAATAGAGTGAATAACTCTCATTCAGAATTTTTTAACAAGACGATATAAAAAGGTGAATGAATGAAAAGACGTACAGGTGGAGTCGAGTTCAAGCAAATGCCTCCGACTTCTGTAATCATCGAGACCTTGCTCGGTCTCTCTGAACGTGGTATCGTAGTGTGTCTGTCCTGCTGCCTTATCGCTGTTTTTTGTAGTGTTGTCGTCTGTATCCATATCACTGGCGCCAGCTTCGCCCGACGAAGAGGACTCTTTAGCCGTCGCCACGTCCGCCGAGGTCGGTGGGCAAGTTGACGCAGTGTCCGTGGCCGGGGCCACGGAGCAGAGGAAACCAGACAACTCGGCTGCTGGACAGTTGTAATCCTCGAAGCCGGCACTCTCCAGCCCCGAAACTCGCATACATCCGCAGGTGGAGGCTGTATCAAGCCCATCTGCACAGGCCTCGAGGCTGCCACGGCTCTCGCAGGCCCCAAGACGGCCTCTGTTGCCATCCGCCTTGTTCGGGCCAAAGGTTGCGGCCTGGTTACCAGTAAGGAGGTTGCGCAAATGCTGGTCGCGTCGCTGGCAAATGGAGCGGACGAGAAGCAGCAGAAGCAGGCTACAGCAGAAGCCGGCTAGGCTGGCTGTGAGGCTGACGAGAATGACGGTCTGGTGAGTTGACGACAAAGTTGGCGGGGAAACAGGAGGCTTTGAGGAGAACGAGGAGATGGGACTTCCGAAGAGTTTTTTTTCACTCAGCGCGAAACCAGATTGTGGGGATAGAGCAAGAAGCAGCCGTTTTCTGTCGCCTGAAGGTCCATCCTCCTCTGTTCTTCCAAGCTGGCTTGAATGAGCGCCTTGAGAGGATTGCAGCCGTGAGTTGATTGAAGATGGTTCTTTAAAAAATGACACAAGGTTGATTACTTCGATTGGTAGTGTTAGTTGAATGAGCAAATGGAACGATAGGGCAGATGCTTACTTTAAGTGAACTACAAATAAGGGAATTATTTACGTCTGGGCCTCTAATCGGATTAGCTATTGTCCTATACTTTTTGAAATTCAACAATGATTAATAAAGAAGAAATAAACATGAAAGCTTGTGTCACTACTAATTCATTAAGGAGCTATTGTGACATGACTTTCCATTTCGTTGTAAAAGATAGTATAGAGAATTGGTAAATTGGTCCCAACGGAAACTGAGGGAAGATTTACGAAGAAAAGTTGGGTTTCGAGGAATCTCTAGTTTCATAATTGTTGAGCTTACTTCCATTTCGAGTGGAAGTGTTGGGTGAAGAGAAGGTCGGTTCCACCAGAAGACGACGGCGGATTCCTCTTGACCAGCTGTCGATTGGCTTTACTGGAACA